AATACATCACAGCTCAGCTACCTGACCAACTCACACAACCTGAACTGTATAAGAAGGTCACAGAGGTGCAAATACACAGCAAAAAACACTCACGGACATGTTTCAGAAGCCCCAGCTCGGGTTGCAGATTTGGTTTTCCTAAACCACCTTCCAGAAAGACAATAATATCGAGACCTGGTGAGGGCGTTGCTCCACTGCAACTGCAAATAGCAAAGTCCAAGCTCCAACCACTGAACTTGTTGCTGAATGAACCTGAAACTGCCTCACTCAGTTTGCAGCAGCTCCTTGCTAAATGCAACTTAACACTCCAAGAGTATGAAGGATGCCTCAATGTCATCAACAAATCCAGTGCAGTGATCCTGAAACGTGAGCCAAAGGACTGCTGGGTAAATGGATATAATGCACATCTACTGGAAGCCTGGGATGCCAATATTGATGTCAGTTATATTCTCAATGCATATTCATGCATCATGTATCTCACCAGCTACATCACCAAAAAGGAATCTGGACTTTCTGAGTACCTCAAAACAGTCATTGAAAACTCCACCAAAGACCACGTCAATGAATGTGATGAAATGAGGGAAATCATGCAGGCGTACTCTAAAAAGAGAGAGGTCAGTGCTCAGGAGTGTGTGACTCGCGCATGTGGAATAAACATGAAGAAGTGTTCACGTGGTGTCATATTCGTACCAACAGATGACAACGCACTGAAAATGAGTCGGCCCATGTCTTACCTGGAGAACACAACATTAGAAAGTGTAAATGTGTGGATGACGTCTTTGACTGACAAATACAAATCCAGACCAGAAACACCAGAGTTTGAGCAGATGTGTTTGGCTGATTTCGCAGCTACTTGCAGAATTGTCTACGGCCAGCAGAAAAAAGGAAAAGATGTGTTGCCTCTCCTCAATGACATGGGATTTGTGCAAAAGCGTAAAAACGATAAGCCTGCCATCATCAGATTTTACCGCTGCTCACAGGAAAAATATCCAGAGAAGTTCTATGGCACATTACTGAAACTGTACATTCCTCACCGATCAGACCTGGAACTGAAAAGACGGCATTTTCCCACGTACGAGTCCTTCTACAAGAGTGGTTGTGTCCAACTACCAGGTTCTGACCATCCTGAGTATGTCCGTCACATTGTGAAACGAAACCAAGACAAATATGAGAAAAACAGTGAGGACATTGAGAATGCAGTGGAAGAATTTGAACAGAACAGAGGAGTGATTGATGAATGGTGCAATCTGGCTCCAGAATCTGAAGTGGAAAGGTTGGAATGTATAGAAGAACTCGAGGCAAGAGAGCCAGATCATGAAAATGTTCAAGAAAATGTTCCAGAATACACTAATCAAGGTAATGCTGCAACAGAAGCCAGAGCCATCAGAGAGCCTCCGGCCTTTGACCCCACACTGCTACGACAAATGTATCAGAACCTGAACCAGAAACAAGCATGTGTGTTCTATGCAGTTAGAGACTGGTGCGTAAAGCGTGTTTGTGGCCTAAATCCTGAGCAGTTTTTCTTTTACGTCAATGGTGGTGCTGGAACAGGAAAGTCACATCTCATTAAATGCATCTACTCAGAAGCATCTAAGATACTGTGCAAACTGCCCAGCCATTCTGAGGAGGTCGACATATCAAACCCCACGGTCCTGTTGACAGCTTTCACTGGAACTGCAGCCTTCAATATATCAGGATCAACACTGCACTCTCTGCTCAAGCTTCCACGAAGTCTGAAACCTCCATTTCAAGGACTTGGTAACCAACTGGATGAAGTCCGATCAGAACTTTTGAATGCTGAAATCCTCATCATTGATGAAGTGTCTATGGTATCAAAGCCCCTGTTTGCTTATGTGGATGCAAGACTGAAACAGATCAAAGGTAGTACCAAACCCTTTGGAGGAATGTCAGTAATAGCTGTTGGAGACTTTTATCAGCTACCACCAGTGCGACAGTCCAAGACCCTCTGTGTGTACGAGCCATGTGAGATTGACCTATGGCAGGAACACTTTCAGACAATCACCCTGACTGAGATTATGCGGCAGAAGGATGATGTTGCCTTTGCAGAGATGTTGAACCGGATCCGTGTGAAAGGAAAGTCAGATGAGTTGTCTCAAGCAGACAGAGCCTTGTTGTCACAGACCATCACTGAACCATCACTTTGTCCACCTGATGTCCTGCACATCTTTGCGACTAACAAACAGGTTGATTCACACAACTCAGTAACATTAGCTCTGCTCCATTCTAATATCACCAACATCGATGCAGATGACTACAAGAAGGACCCACGAACTGGAAGAATGGCTCGACAAGCCCAACCATACAAAGGAAACAGAAATGAGTTACCAGACACACTAAACGTAGCTGAAGGTGCTCGAGTCATGCTCACCAGGAACATAGACGTGTCTCAGGGATTGGTGAATGGATCGTTTGCTACACTAGTCAGGGTAATAACCGCAGAACAGAGTGGTGTTGCACATGTCACTATGCTCGGGCTCAAGATGGATGATCAAACTGCTGGAAGGAATTACCGTAATAGAGCACCGGGCGGCCCTGATGATGTGGTGTACATAGAGAGAGCAGAGGACAATCTGAAACAGAAAGGAGTTGTACGCAGACAGTTTCCTGTTAGACTTGCCTTTGCCTGCACGATACACAAGGTTCAGGGTATGACGAGGACATCAGCTGTAGTGTCACTGAAACACATTTTTGAACCTGGCATGGCTTACGTAGCCATCAGTAGAGTGACCTCTCTCAGTGGATTGCACATGCTGGATCTGGATGAGAGTAAAATCTATGCCAACCCAGAAATCACTGGAGCCCTCGAGACCATGAGACAAGTCAACTTGGACGACATGATGCCTCTTCTTCGTATCAAAGAGGCCTCGAGCAGACACGACACTCTGACCATTGTTCACCATAACACTGAAGGTTTGCCATCGCACATCATTGACATCAGGGGCCATCATGAACTGTGTCTTGCAGATGTTTTGTGTCTCACAGAAACTCACCTTCAAGGCTCCTTTGTTGCAGAGAGTCTCCATTTAGAGGGCTACAACATGTTCAAACGCAACAGACACCTGTCCTACACAAATGTTCCACAAATAGCCAACAGAGGTGGTGGTGGAGTTGCTGTTTATGTGAAAAGCCACATTCAGGTGCGTGAGAACAGTACGTACATAATGTGACCGATCTTGAGTTTGTGGCTCTGAAGGTAGAAGCCCCAGTGAGAGCCCTGATTGCAGCTGTGTACAGACCTCCAGACTACAGTGTGAGATCATTCCTGTCCAACCTGGGGAGCCTGCTGGACTCATTGGAGATCATGGACTGTCAGCCCATCATTGTCTGTGGTGATTTCAACGAGAATCTCTTCTCCAACACTGGTAAGCCAATCCTTGAGCTCTTCCAGTCCAGAGGATTTGCACAAGTCATCACTAATGCAACCACTGACAAGAACACACTGCTGGACCTCATTTTCATCTCTCAACCACAACGCTGTCTCCACTCTGGTGTGATGAGAACTTATTACAGTTATCACAACCCTGTTTACTGTGTCATGTCATCTAACAGTCCATAAAGGTATCAGGTGAGTTTTAAAGAAAAATGCAATGTACTTGTATATACATTGATTTAATACAATGCATGATTATACAGAGGAGGGGGATCCGCCATACAGCCGTTTCCATATTTCCACCACAGCAGGGCCTCCACTCTGGTACAGTAAAAAACATGTCACTTGTCACAATCATGTTTTCTGTCTACATTCCTCCAACAGGTCTTAAAATTGTCAGCTAAGATCAAAATCTACTGAGAATCATATAATTTTTTTAAACAATACCACATTGTAATTAGTCTGGGATTATGTAATCTTCAATGTAAAGAAAACTGAATCATCTGGTCAAACTAGTTGTTGCACTGTAATAAGATTGTGGAATGGGCTAATTTTAAGTGTTCACAATATTGGATAATATTATGGGTCATATAATTTTCCAGGTAACCATGTTAATTTTAGCAATATTTCTAACACATTCTGGCCTGTGCATTTATCAGGGTGGGTTTGGGTCAGGGTTGATAAATGCACAGGCCAAAACTCTTTCAGCAGCTGTGTACAATGTAAAATTCATTGTACACAGCTGCTGACATTTAGTTTAGCAGACGCACATCAGAAAGTATGTGTTCTAGATGTAACACATACTTTCTGATGCACCTACCAGCTGAAACCCCACACTTCCATCCCCATTAATTTTATTTTAATTACCCTGTGTTTTCTGTAGTGTTACGTTTCCTTTGTATTGAAAGCAGTCACAATTGTCATGTTTCCTATGTAGTGTTAAGTTTCCTTTGTATTGAAAGCAGTCACAATTGTCATGTTTCCTATGTAGTGTTAAGTTTCCTTTGTATTGAAAGCAGACACAATTGTCATGTTTCCTATGTAGTGTTAAGTTTCCTTTGTTTTGAAAGCAGACACAGTTGTCATGTTTCCTGTGTAGTGTTAAGTTTCCTTTGTATTGAAAGCAGACACAATTGTCATGTTTCCTATGTAGTGTTACGTTTCCTTTCCGATGGACAAGAGACAAAGTTCTCATGTGTCTTTGTAGTGTTAAGTTTCCTTTCTGATGGACAGGAGACACAGTCCTCCCTTTTCCTCTGTAAAGACACCTTCCAGTCTTGGCCTCACCTCCTTCTGCACTGTGAGGATCAGCTCACAGCATCTAAGACATGACAAAGACTGCAGCACCAACTGAACTGTCAATCAACCGAGGACCCATCACAGTTAGACCCCATAGGGACACATTTGACTTCCTGCCTGTCCCCGTCATTCTTCAAAGCAAAGGATGAGAAAACACCTGCCTGTCTTTGCCTCACTTCCTGTCTGGCTCTGAGATTCGGGATCAGCTCATACCGACCAGGACATCCTGCCACCACTGCAGCAGCAGAGCAGATGTTGAAGCACCGTGTTAACTGTTCATCATCAGTGGACACTTGCTGGACCACAGAGAGACGTGTTCTCCCTGCCAGTGTTGAGGTTTCTTCACAAAAGATAATAAGGTATTGTGTTCTTATTTCATATGTGATTTCTAATGTTTTGTTTTAATTTTGTTATCATTCACGTATTACTTTTATATGAATGCAATATTCTTAATAACACTAATTGTACATTCAATATAACATTCTAATTTTATATCCACTTCTTCCTTCAGGTCTTCCTCCTCTGTGATTCCTCCACTTCACAGTGAAGACACTCAGGACTGCAGAGAGGGCTGAACACATAAAAGAAGCTGAACATGCAGCGTATTCAGTTTCACTGGACTACATGTTGATCTGCTCTGCACTGCTCTCAGAGTTCAAGGTATTTCATTACTGTGAATTATAAACCTTTTTAGAAAGTTGAGTTTCTAACAATAACTTCCTGTTTTATTTTTGTCAGGATCAGGTGTGTGACTGCAAGGAAGAGTCATCAGTCAGTCATCACTGTCCCAGTGACAGCCCCACCTTTATGCAGCTTCAAGCTCCTCCCTAAACCAGCTGTAAAGGTAACAACTGGGATTAGATCTTTTTAAAAATATATCTCTGACCACAACAAAACAATCCCCTGGTAGTCTTACTACTTGCATGTGCTGTTTACATTTTTAACAACATGAATACATTTTCTCCTGTTTCTGTCTTTAAGGCCTCTCCTCCTCCATGTAGCTATAGTAACACTATCCTGACGTGATGACTGGAGCAGTGGATCTACAGCCGCTGCACAGGTCAAAGGTCATAATGTTACAGGTCTTCAAAGCATACACTACTAACTCATGAACAGTATTACTACAGGACACCTGTCTATTTTGTTTGTTTCATCTCTACCGTATTTGATCTAACAATATACGTTTTCCTTGTGTTTCATCGCATTTTTTTTGTTGATTGTATTTATTTATTTATTATTTTTTTATTTGTCATCCGTCCCTTTTCAGTCAGATTTATGAGAAAATTAAGGATGAAAATGTTTGTTTGATTGCCTCGTGCATATGAACAAATTAACCTTGAAGAAATGACATATTTGTATCACAATGAGTCATTAGTATGGGGTTTCAGCTGGTAGGTATATTCAAGGTTTTTCACATGTGTACACCGATCCTTAGGATAACCTAAACTCTAAAAGATTTAATAGGAAAACAAATCCTACAAAGCTTGGGTCCTAACCTTGAGTCAACAAGTGACTCTAACCCATGTTCCATCAAAATAAGGAGAACCCAGTGTGTCTGTGAGCCTCAGTAAACTGAGCTTAACGCTGGGATAGTCTAAACGACAATGTTGTCAAGACTTATCTGTCCAGGGCTCCTGGACCTTGAAGTCTTGAACTGAGTATTAACCTAAGTCTGGAAACGATGTGAAAAACCTTTGATTGTAGGAAATGAACCATATTGTTAACTATTGAAACTATAGTAAATCTATTCATGAATAACACAGAGACCAATGTTCACAAAACTGTGTTGATACATTTCTCACTCTAAGATTTTATCTTTCACAAAATACTCAAAATAATTATGACCAATACAACAGTACTTGTGCACTGTACTCATCTATATTATTTCATTATATTTTGATAGAAGATAATGAGTCAAAAAATGATGTAAAGACGGGATCTTCTTTTGTGTTGTATTTCAACTCTTAGCTTTGTTAAATGCTGCACTTCATCTTCCACACTGCCAATTTTGAAATTAAAATATCATGTTATCCTGCTGTGCTGGTCTTCACTTTTTGGCATTAACACTTATTCAGCAAAGCCATTGGAAATTTCAATATTTTCAGAAATTGAACTTAATTTCATCTTTGAGCCTGCCGGTTCATTGTCATTTCTATATCATGAGCATTTTTTTTTAAATTCATTTCAGTTTTTCGGCTTGTTGGTACGATTTCGGATTTCTGTATTTTCAGCCGTTTTTGAAATTCATTTTAGCTATTTTTTGCAAGATTTCACATTTATTTCAGCTGTTTTCATTTCTGCTTTTTCAGCAAATCTATTGAAATTCCTTTCAGCTTCTCCCCTTTCTGTATTTTCAGCAATTTCAAATTAATTTCAGCTTTTCAAATATCTGTAATTTCAGATGTATTCAAATTCCCTTCAACTTTCTGTATTTTCAGCTATTTTTAAATATTCAGTGCAGCTTTCAGCTTTTTGCATTCCAACGCATTTTCAGCAGGAAATGCTTTTTCTAGTTGATATTCACTCCTTGAGAGTGAAGATGTTGGAAGGAGTTAAGTTCGAGCACTGGCGATGTATGTCAACGGTCACCATCATATAAATGCACAAGTAAACACAGGAAAACGGTTCTTTAAAGTATAACAGGGTTTATTAACTCACAGGAACACCGATCAAGATCACCTATAACTGCAACCAACAATCCCCATAACACTTATTTTAAACCTACTCACTAAACAAGCAGTCAAAATCAGAGTGTGTGTGTGTGTGTGTGTGCGTGGGTGTGTGTGTGTG